TATTTCTCTTAACAAACATTTCACTAAATTACATGAACTATTTTATCCCTCATTTTAATCATACATTGTTTCCAATTTTCTAAAGTTATTTCTATTACTAATATAACAATACAATCTTATGTACCTTTACAGAATCCCTTTTTCAGTTAAATTTTCACCCATTATCTCTAAATAGGTCCTGTTTCTCTATATCTTGTTCTGGTCCTTTGTAACTTCTTTTCCTTTCCTTCTTCCCTCTCTTCTTCTCTCTCCCCTTTTTACCCCCTTGTCTCTCTACCTCTATTTCTCTCTTCTGTGTTCCCCTTTTCTGTTGCTTTCCAGCATTATACTTATTTTTCGAATTATTTTTCTTTTCTTTGGTTGTTTTTTTAAGTCTTAAATTCTCCATTCTCTTTCCCCCCTTTCCTTTTTCTTCCCCACATAGAATTACTTGTTCATTAAAGATGGCTTCTTCTTTGTCCCAGTCTTCTTGTTTTGCAGACGTTTCTTGTTGTTTCTCATAGTTCCAAATCTCCATTTCTAAGAACTGAAAAACGAAGCCAAAAGAACCTCTCCCTTCTTGTGCATCTTCTTTATACTTTTAAAGTTCCATTTTCAATTCATTCAGTAGTGCCATTGTATAAATTTTTAAACAACCACCCGATTAATTTTAGTCATTCAAATGCAATAACCAAGAATCCAAAGATCACCAGGTAATCCAAGTACACGCAAACTGTTTCTTTTTGCTCTTTTTTTTCACTTTCTCTTCCTGGGGTTCTACTGTTTAGTTACAAAGTTTCAGTTAAAATGTATCTTTTAGAAGTCTTGTTGAAGTTTTACTGTAGATTCTTTTTAATTCCAGGCAGCCTCCTCCCCTTTTCCAGATCCTGCCCTTATTCTTTTTCTCTCCCTTCCTGCTTATGAAAAAAATTTTTAGTGTCCAGAAATCTTTATTATCCCTTTGACATTTTGTTTTATTTTCAACTTAATTGCCTGTTGATGTCAAAGCGGATTTTTCCGATTTCTTATTTAAGTCTCTTAGTTGTCAGTACAGGAAGAGGGAGAGAAGAAAAAAAGAACCAAACCATTTCCTTTTCACTTTCCTTCGCTGTTTCCGACTCTTCTTTGGGAGCGATGTTATTTTTTTTGTAAATTTAAATTCCAGGGTACCTTAGCTTTTGCAATTTAACCCGGTCAGCCAAAACTTTCACTTATCTTCTTATCTTCCTCCTGGCCATTTCTGACCACCGCTGCAACCGTCTTCGGGAAAGGGAGTAATGGCCAGGTGAGGAGGAGAGATGCGGTTCTCCTCAACCCTGCTGGCAGTCTCCCCCCCTCTTCACTACCTCTACGGGGTGGCTTAGCCCTGAAACCAATCAGCTCGGGGCACTCCAGCGGCTAGCCCAGATTGAAACCGCGCATGATCACGGATTTCTGTCTGTCGCCGAAGGAACTCAAACCGGAAGCATCATGTCACTTTTTTCAGCGCCATTGTAACTGAATGTCATTAATGCTTCTCCATCACCCAGTGAATTTCATCAAATATTTGATATTCCTCACCTTGTGTTATGTTGTCAGTCACTGGAAATAATTGTAACTACTTTAGGTAATAATTAAATTATTACCTGGTATAAAAGTGAGATATTACACTCAAAACTATTCTCACTACTACCGTAATGTTAAAGAGAGTGTATGTTTGGTGTAATGGTTGAGGCATCAGGCTAGAAACCAGGAGACTGTATTTTAGGTCTCTCTCGGGCACAAAGCCAGCTCTGTGGCTAGGCTAATCACTTTCTCTCAGCCCTGGGAAACAGGTAATGGCAAACTGCTTCTGAAAAACTTTTCCAAGAAAATAGCAGGGACTTGTTCAGGTAGTTTCTGAAAAATTTTTATGTTTGAAAGGAAGGAAAAAAAGGATTAAACTGTTCAATGCATGAGCTTCAATGCAATAACAGTCTGTCAATGAGGTAGAGTACCATTGCCTCCCTTTATATCATCAAATTACTGGGTTCATTTCTACCCACTAACAAAGCAATAATGCAGTAATTTAATAATTCATTCAAAATATCAAAGCTCTGTTAATTACTGAAATGTAATTTGAAATAAGAAGTTTGGAATTTGTTCTGCTTAATCTATCACATGGAAGATGCAGATATGATTAAAGTTCATATTAATCATGACAAGAGCCTGTATAATTTGTCTAATGGCTCTGGCTCTAGAGTTTTTAGTTCTGTCTCGTACAGTTATTCAAAATCAATAGAAAGTAATACAACTGATTGTTGAACTCATCATTTATTAGAAATTCAGGCATTTATAATTTTTCCCAACAGTAAAAGATTTAACTATTATACACAGTGGAAGGAAGGATGCAAGCTATACATCTTGGAGAAAAGAACTCTACAGTTGCACTATAAGTTTACCAGATTGCTTCAGGATACACTGTTATAGTTTACAATTAAAATTAAGGTTCACCCAAAACATTTGCCTTAAGGATCAAGACTAGCCATGAAGATCCACAAGAATGAATGAGGAATAAAGAAAGTTCATTTTTTCATGGTAAGGTTGTGCTGTTAGATGTCAAAAGGGAATAAAACACATTTGTCAATGTGTATTTAATTTTTTTTAATATTCAGCAGGACAAAGCAGAGAGAATGAGGGCAATGTAATATATGGCGATTTCTACGTAAGCCTCTGCTTGAAAACTGTACAAAAGAAATCAACTGCAGAAAAAAAAGATATTGCTAAACATTTAATAACTCCTACTTAATTTAAAATTTTGAGTTTAAGGCCTGAGCCCCTTTCCTTATCAAAGTTTTAAAAATTTAACACCTCATTAAGTGATGAATAAATGAAATTGGATAAATTATGTAAAAGAATTACCCTGCATCATTACATATTTGAAAGAGAAAAAAATCATGCACGTACAGCCTGGTAGGTAGCACAAATGAAGGAACGTCGATATCTTATGCTTTCATAGCAGGGCCCTTTAAATAATCTGGTAGCACTGAAAGGCTTCTTTTGTAAGCAGCTATCCCTCATCTTAATGCACAGGGTGAAGTGACAGTAGTGTGCTGTTTACAACACTTTCCCTTAGAACAACAACTTTATCAAAATGTTTTCTTTAATAATATCAAGAGTTTCCATTTTATTTACATTACGATTTATCAACACAAGATAAAGTGCAAAGTTCCCAGTCTCTCCCTCCCTACCCTCAATAGTGTATTTGGCTAATTTACATATTAAAAAATTTGAATACTGCTTCATAAATCGTCTCTCAAACAAGTCACCAGCTGCTTTGTTTCTTGAATACAACTTGCTCTTTTTATTCTTTTATCAAAGTATGAAAAATATTCTTGCTCTGGACTACTTTGGCTTTAAGGTGTTTTCCTGATCCTCACAGGAAATTTTTATTGGCAAATCTGTCAGGTGGCAAATTTACAGCATTCTGTAAGTACACTGAAGCCTCTTCTTTTCAACCATAATTTATGGCATTACTTGCAAGAGAAAACATTAAATTTAATGTAGGAATCTGATATGTAACATTTACATTACAGAATCACACTTGGAAGCTAAACCACCAGACTGAGACATTCTCCAAAACACTCAACTGCACCTTGCACCAGGAATTCATAAAAATGTTGTTCCAGTACTAATTGTCATTGTACTTCCCCTTCCCTTTGCTCTTTCCTTCATTCAAGGGATAAACAAAATTTCTTGTGCTATAACTACTATCGTTACAACTATAACTAATGCACAGAGGACAACCATCTTTGATGAAGTTAACCTCATTCTAGAAGATGTGCCATATTAAAACTCTTCAGCTCTGATGCAAAGCCCATTTAACAATTATAGATCTTCTGCTAGCTTTCAGTGGGTTTGAAGGCCTTTGGTTTTGAGTGAGTTTTATTCAGTATTGCTGTAGTCAGCAGTATTATCTACAACTACTAGACAATGTGGGAAGTCACTCCCAGGCCAAAGTTTATTATATAATAGCTTAAATCCAATGTAAAATTGATGTTTAACAAGAGTCAATAAAATACCACCCACCAGTTTCTATGAATAAACATGCCAATCTGACTCTTTTTTCACATAAACTAATGTTAGATATTGTCTTAGGATTCAAATCCTCTGAAGCTCAAAATGATGATCAAGGTTTTATTAAAACCACTAGGAATTTGAAAGTTTCCTTAAATGGCATGCAGCATAATTTGCCATTATTTTGAACTGCATGATGGTGTTTTTGGTGATGCAATACTAGATGTTCAAGAATCACAGGCAACACACACACAAAATTATATGTTGTTGTTAAAATTAGCCTCTAGTACTAAATGTCATGAAAAACTAATGGCCCTTTCCTTGTGCCAAGACATTTGTACAATACTTGGTCAAGCTGAGAGTAAGGCAAATAAAGATATCTAAAAAACATGTTTCAAGGATTCTAATTTCAGTTATTCTTCACATCTTACATGAAAGTCCTCAATTTCCTCATAATTATTTTTGATTTAATAAAGTATGACAGCAAACCTTGTTAGGTGATTTAGGAAAATACTTTACTTAAAATCTGATCTTCAAAGCAACTATTGAACAGATTGCTCGTGTAAACAGATAGTTGTTGCATTTTTAGTAGTAATTTAGTTGCTGAAACTTTGTTATTTGCATTACAAGCCCATACAATATAAAACTAAAAGGTTTACCCTTTTGATCTAGATCTAGAAAGTTGTCATAGGATGCCAGTCTATTGAGAAAATATGTCATGGTCATTGTATTTTTAATGTGAATATTCTGAAGTTACAAATATTCAAATACAGTTTTATTACACGTTCAGTTATAAAAACCATTTAAAATATTTGATTTCTGGTTTAGCCTTTCAGTGAAGGAAGCAGTGGGACTATTTGTTTAATAGTTTAAAATGCAAACTAGCAGTCTAAAATACTTTAGTTGTTTTCATTATATAGCCATGTGTTTTTAAATTTAAAATGTGCATTAAAAAGACATATCTTATGTTGTAACTGAAGTAGATGAAAATATCAACTTTTAAAGTGCCATTCAGTTAATTGGAGTAACATAAATTGGTGATCTATTTGCAGTACAAATACAACATGGCTATATACATGAACTTTTGCATTTGCTGAGATGTGCATTTTAGGTTTTCACATCATTAAATTTTGGAAAAAAACCTACCAAAACTTTGTCCCTTAGCATCTTATAAAACACACTTTATTTTTATTTGGACAAATTTTTAAAATGTTTTTAGGACAGCAGGAAAGAACTTAGAGGTCCTTAATTCAATATTAATACTAAATGCAATGTGAAAACTGCTGATGAAGTGTAGTTCTATGCCCGAGACAACTGCTGAATAATGTCAACCTTATCCAGAATATTTACTATATAAGGTAGTCGAAAGGATATTTTGAAATGTATTTGTCTTTTGGCATAGCAAAATATGGGAGTAAGAGACCAAAAGAGATGTTCAAACAGATCTGGACTTATAGGAAGAACCATTTAGACTATGTTACCTTCCTCACATAAGTAAATGAAGAACAAGCTTTGTGTGTGCACACTGATTATCAGGTTCTGAACTGTGGGCAGACAGCAAGAACCTTATAGTTACTCTGCATTTTAAAACATGATACCTAGGACAAATATATGGTCCAACATGACATTTGTTCTCACTACCAAAATGAAGATAAATTGATGCCATTGCCAAGTTTATTAACTATTACTGTAAAGTGTTTGCTTTGTAGCCTCATTAGGACCAGACTGAGATTCCAATTGCTTACAAAGAGCTCATAGCAACTTGAAATTATTTTTAGCTTCAAATATTTGTGTGTGTGTGTGTGTGTGTGATGTGTGTATCCAACCTTAAAAAAATCAGCAAATAGTCTGAATCTGTAGCAATACCTCTCTATTCAATAGTTTGTTTGAAAAACAGAAGTATTGAAATATTCAACACATTAGAATGTGTGAAGTCATAACACTCTAATAAATATTAATAAATGAGTTATGCTGGCCAATTTCTATGTTTCAATGTAAAAAACAATATATATGCAAAAACACTAAGATTAGAAATGTTTAGCACCCATGAAAATCTGAAATGTTTAGTCTCAAAACAAGTAATTTTATGTAGTGCGTGTGGTGAGCAGAGGTGTTTTAAATCAGAATTTAGAAGTTTTACTTTATCTGTGCCTTTCAATACTAGGTGAGTATGATAGGATTCTATTCAAGAATGCCAAACTCATGCATGGTTTATGTTACAATCTGCAACGTAAGTCAATTTCTTAAACAGTCATTGCTTTGGGGATCTTGAGTTTCTTTTGATCTTTCCTTCAGGTTAGAGATCATGCTTTGAAACTGCAGAGGTTTTCATACACATTCTGAAATTAAGTATTATAATATGGGGATCAAATTTTGCTTTCTTATGTATATTTTAATTTACACAAAAATCTTACTTTTTTAAAAAAGTATTTATAATGCACCTGCTTTTTTAAAAAATATTACACTTGTTTGAATCCATAGTCTACCTAACTTTCATTCCAGTTTACTGCTTTCTGTTTTCTGATCCAATCTGCTCTTGTTGCTTTTTACCATGTAGATAAAGTAAGCAAGAGTTTCTTTTTCATTCACTGGGATGTTCCTGAAGTGACGACTGACAGTCTGAAAAAAACAAATATTTTTTTAAATAGAAATATTTTCCTAGCAGAAGGAACATACATGTGGAAATCATAAAGTCTTCACTGACTTACTTCTGCCAACTGAGCTTTATTGAGACCAGGTCTGGTTTGTAATTTGTAATGTCTTTTGTAACGGCGCAAAGTGTTTACCTGAAGCTGAAACAAATCAACCTAGAAAAGGGGCACAATGAAAATATATATTTAGTTTAACTGATAACTGAAAACAATTAACCCTCTACAATGCATTGCATTTTAATAGCGAAAAGCTTCTTTACAATCTATATAAAGTTATATATGTTCATCGTTTCCCAGGGTTATGTGATAGGATAGTCATGTGACCCCAGGAAAACAATGCAGAAGTTTTAAGAAATTGCAGGGGCAACTTTAGTGCTATAATATGCTTCAAAACATTTGTTCTTTAAAAGCACTGTATTCCTAAAAAACCTATGCAGCAAAAGCAAGATATGGCAAACCTTGCTTCTTAAATTCTTAAACAGTTACTTGCATTAGGAAATGTGTAGATGATTACAGGTATATAACATGTATATAACATATAACATGTTTTCAACATATTAGTATTTTTGTTAAGTTTTTCTTCAGAATTTTGAAAGCTACGAACTTAGAGAATGAAAGCAGATATTTGTACAATATGTTAATACCTCAAAAGATGGTAGAACTGAAAATTATGAGAAAAGGACAATCAGATTAAGTGATTTGTGATATTAAATAAGCAAAGAAAGAAGACTTGCTAGAGGTCCACGATGTAGAGCATAATGCAGATGAAAGGTAGATGCTGAGGAGAGATTCAGGATAAATAAAAGTAAGGACTTGCACAAACTCTACATGTTTATTCAAGATATTGTAATGATCACCAATGTGATAAACATAGGGTTCTTCTATAAGGCAAGATAGAAAATGGCAGAAAGTTGCTGTGGCTGTTCTTGAACTGATAACCAGTGGAAAGTTAAAGCACTTCAGAAACAGTATCAAGATAGTTTTAATCTGCTGTATCCAAAGTTGTTCCACTTTCTAGGTGTCTTAATTCAGGCCTGAATTGTGACCAAAAAACTGTGAGCCCTTCTGAATTCTTGATTTGCAATATTCACAAAGTTTGTGATATGGAAAAAAGATATACTTCCCCAATGTGATTTATAAGTTTAAAACTGTATGAATAAGAAAATTCTGAGCACTAATGACTGGAATACAATCTTAATAAATACATGTTATTATACTACTTTTAGGAAGTATAATTAAACTTACAAAAATATAAATACAATCTAAACAGTAAATCTCAATTTTATTACATAAATCACCTCTGGAACATCTATTTCATGCTCCGGAGAATCTCCCCCATCATCACTGGTTTTCCTTTTCCTTTTATTTCGGACACTTTGAATGAAGTTCTTGTGGAAATCACATATATATAGGTGTCTTACCTAAAATTAAAGAAAAATATTGAATAGCACAATCCTTACAAAAGCAAAGAGAACGATAAAAAGAAAATCTGAGAACTTTCAGTACCACAAATTTGAGCTTTTTGAAAAAGGTTTTCATAGGTTCATTTAAGAGCCATTGCACATCAAAAAGGTATGGCAGAAGCAGGGATGGGATTCTACCAGTTCTGTCCGGCTCTGTAGAACCGGTACCTCTGAAGAGCAGCAGACATAGAACCGGTTCTATGGCTGCTGCTGCTTTGGCCCACCCGCCCGCCCGGGCTCTTACCTGACCTTTATTTCCTGCTTTTTCAACCTCAGTTGCCTTGTGAGGCACTGCTGCAATTGAAAAAGCAGACAAAAAGTAGTTTTTCAAATGCTGCTTCCCTGCACGCAGCGCTGCTCAGCTGTCCAGGCAGCTAGATGACTTAATCCTGTCTGATCCCACCCTTGGGAAAAAGGGCTACTTGCCAAATTAAGTCTTCCAGAAACCCTCTTTTTGCTCATCTGCTTTCTTCAAGTTTAGTAAAAAGGCTGTTTTAAAAACGGATTTATTGGGGTAGTAAGTAAATATGTTTAAAACTGTGGGCTACAATGTAAAACTGAACACTGAACAGTTGAATTTGGTTTTTAATGTTAAAGTCCTTCCTGTGGGGTAACTGTGTATTTTGTAGGTCTGTGTGCACAAATAATATATCCTGACATCAAAATGCAAGTGGCATGAAAGCCAGTTGAATGACTTTGAGCAATTATACTTTTTCAGCCCAACTAACCGCACAGAGTTGTTGTGGTGAAAATAGGAGAAGATGTGTTGGATAAGCTTACCCCCTTGAGTTATTTGTAAAAATAATGAAGGCAGGATATGAATAAATAAATACAAATATTTTTTGCCTGTAATAATATTCATACAAGAAAGAGAAGAAAAGTACACTGTACGTTACAAAACACGTTTTCATTTTTTTTTAATCTCAGCTTGCTGTGGGCAAGCCTGCTAATAATCATGAAAACCCTTAAAAATAAATTTTCAAGTAAAAAAAATCAAGTGTGTTAGAATTTAATAGAATTAACAAGCACTTCCCCCAACAGTGAGGAACTATTATGAAAAAAACTGGGGGGGGGGGGGGGGGGCAGAAAAAGTTGGGGATGACAGTATTGCTATTCAGTACTGAACTGTGACAAATTCCAGTTATTATTAGATCTAGGTTGGACACTTCCTATAAGCTGTCAAGAGCTGTTTGATTAAGTTAGGGTATAAACTAATAAATAAACCAATCAACACTCCCCAGGGATCACTGTCCACTGATAAAGGAATCTGATTGCTCCTGATTTATGCTATCTTTTTCTCTTATACACACATTAATACACACTTAGTAGACAACCTGTGACCCCTTGGGGCATCATTTCACAGATACTTTACCAGATTCCTTATTGCCTTCAACAATGGCAGAGCTTCTTATATAGCTGAACAATCTTTTTAAAAGTCAGGGAGACATTCAGAGATATATCTGCCTTGAAAAGAAACCATGTTGAGCTGTATAGTGCAATCAAACATTAGGAGTTGATTACGGGATATGCTTTATGACATGTTGTATTGCATCATAAAATGCTTGATAATTTTAGGTGATAAAATGCTTTATAAAATTTGCCAAATTGCTCATTTGAAGTATCTTGGTTCAAAGCATTTTGACCTATGATGTACTGCTTCACCCAATGATAGGTCACAGACATGAGAGTTTTAGTAATAGGTTTATGAACTTGGCAGAATATTGCAGAATTATAAGATGGTAGTTGCTGTATGCATGAAAGGGATTGAATGATGCAGCAGAAACTTCTAGTCACAAACCCTATTTCTGGAGTCTTACAGTTAGTATACTAATGAAATGATTATTAGCTTAATTAAAATAACTGATTTGGTAGACAATTAACTATGACTATTTTGGATATATTTCTTTCTCCTCAGAAAACTAGCTCACAGTTAACTTTTTCTACTAATGCTTTCATATTTTTTTGGCAGTAATTGTGCTGAAGTAATGCTGAAAGAAATGAAATAATTAAAGTTTATTCTTCACATTATATTTGATTCGGTTAAAAGCATTAACTATAGACTAATTTAATAGGTAAAAGAAACAGTCTTACTAGATATCCACTGATACTTTATGGATTTTTTATGTGATGTGAAGGAGAAAATACCTGGAAGTAACTGTAATCTCATTGCAAGTTTTAATTTAGAAGGTTTAAGTAAAGTACATTAAAAGAGACCTAGAAAAAATTCCTTCCATTCCTCCTTTAATTTCTCAATGAAGACAAGTTTAATTTGGATTATGCTTTATAGACAAATCCTAATATATAATCTGGATGAATACAATCATTACTAGTGCCACGTATGATGTCTCAGTTTAAAATGACCAATGTGACAGATGGCACAGTAACAATTGGTTGGCAGCACATTAATTTGTTTGATGCTAGCCAAGAAACATGCTTGCTGTTTTCATTTGACTGCAGTTCACTGCTGGAGATTTGACAGTTTTTAAGTGAATTATTTTAAGACTACTAACAGTATAGTACATCAATTAATATGTCAAGAGACTTTGGTTTTAGTCTACCCTTTTATACAGAAGCACATCTGTGCATTACCCTGAAAATGAAAAGCAGCTTATACATCTAATAAATAAAACATTTTGAACTATTTAGCTGGACATTTTATTGGTTAACTTAAAAATACATATATTAAGTTCTTTTTTAATATTAGCACCTGTAATATCAGATAGCAGATACATCACTATATGGCTACTGATTACAAAGCAACTATTTTTTCTATTCTTAAATTACAAGTCATAAATAACGGATCTCTAGCATGCTTCTAGTATATTTTTATAGAGAATGATATCAACATTCTCCCCCCTCCACAAAAATCAGAATTGGGTACAGCTTTTTTTATTTTAGCTATTTACTACAAACTTGCCTTTCTCAATTCTTTCTGATGTATCATACATACTTTTAAGTACAGTTAAACAGCCATAATCCATGTACTTCCCCCCTAACAATATGACGCTTGTATTTCCTTTTCCCACGAAGTCTTTTTATTATCACGCAACCCTAGAATTTCCAGATAGTCTCCCATTCAAATATTTATCATTCTCAGTCCTGCTTAGCTTTGTCCAAACTAGCTAGATGCTGCCACCTGCTGTGGCTTTGTGCTATTTTTGTCACTGAATGAAAAAGAGATTAACTTTGGTACTATTGCTATTACATTTATATGTAAGACAATTATTTTGCTCTGTAAAAAAAAAACACAATTCCCTAAAAATATAATAGGGTTTTAATGGTGGTGCCGTGTCAGGCATATCTCTATTTGCACTGGCTTCTTTAGTAGGATCATAAACCAACATACTTTCATTTTAATGCTGCATCATTCAGATTGTTCCTATCACGTTTTCTCAGCATAGGGAAATACTGCTTTGCTGACGCTGGGAATTCACAGCAGCCCAGCAGCATCTGATTGAAAAAAAACCAAAAACTCTACAATTTGAGCGGTGTAGTACAGCAGCGCTACTATAACAACAGACGAGACAGATTCGGTGCACAATTGCAGATAGAGAAGCCTGCAGTGGTAAAGCTTCTGCGGTTGCCACTTACACTTTTGTCAATATCCAGTTTCAGCTTTTTCTGAGAGATGCTCTTTTGGATCCTCTTGCTGAAGGAGGCATTGCCAGCCGGGCGGACACAACGATCCCCGTCGTCGATGAGGCAACAACTTTGTCCGTAAAAAGGGGTGGTAGGAGGACCATCCCGGCTATCTTCCTCTGTGCTGAAACCATTCATCGCAGCCTCCCGCCGGCCTCGGTCGACGAAAGGCCAACTTCGCCAGCCTTTGGGCTCGCCAACCTCCGCCCTTCCCTTCCCTCTCCGCCCGGCCTATCCCACCCTGGACTTGGCGGGCTTTTAAGGAAACATCTGGAGGGTAGCCGTCAAAGCAACGCTGGCTTCGCCCGCCGCCTCCACCGGGCGGCCTTCCCAGGGGCCCCGAGGAGCCCCTCACGCCGCCATCCCGCCCAGGGGCCCCGGAAGCGGTCCTTCGTGGTGGCGGCTTCCCTCGCCTCCCCCGAGGAATCGCTTTCCCGCTTCAGCCCGCGGACGCGCTCCGCCTGCCCCGACCCGCTGGGGACCCCAGCCTCGCAAGCAACTCCTCCGAGAGGCGGCGAAAGCAAGGAGGGTCCGTCTTCTCGTCTCCTCACGGCCTCCCGACCCCCCTCTGGCAGCCGGCCGAGGACCGCGTCCCTTCGACTGCCTAGGTCACAGCCCCCGGAGCCGGCAGCCCGGTACGAGTGGCTGTGCCCAGCTGCCGGCCCCTTCCGCGGAACTCGTCAGGCGGACACGACCTGTCGCTCCGCCGGAGAGGCCACCAGGCCACGGAGCCCAACGCCCGCACCCACTCGCTCCCTCACCCGCCTCGCTCGTCTCTTTCCCACTCCCTCAAACACAAAACCTGCCCGCTCCGCCTCTTTCGCCTCCGAGCGGAAGTCCCGTCCCCGGGCAGCCAGTGGTTAGCGCAGCTCGAGAGGCGGGGCTTCAGCTCCCGCTCAGACCAGGTATTGGCCGAGGTAGCTGCTCGTGCCGATAGGCTCCTTCCTGCGCGAGGGGAGGCAGCCGGAGAGCGTTTGAAGTCCGTGCTCGGGAACGGGCTGGGAGAGTTCGGAGGTTGGTGGACGGGCAGCTCCTGAGCTTCGGAGCCAACTTCGGCGGCGACACACGGGAAGCCGTTAGCCAAGAGGGCGGGGCGGGGGACGGTGAACGTTCGAAAACCAGCGGCTCTTGTGCACCTCAAAGGCGGAGCTGCCTCGCGGCGCTTGGGCGACGCTGTTGAAGTGGACTTTTCACCAGGAATGCTTTGGGTCCTGCTCGGACCGCTTTGCGTGTCTGGTTGCTGCAAACTAATAGAGCGTTCCCTCCGGAGGATCAGAGCGGAGCGTTACCGGGGAAGGGGCAGCGGCGAGATCCCGCGGAGGAAAAGAGAAAAGAACCTGGGAAACTAGTAGGGTAGAGGGAAGGTGCGCGGCGGCATGGACCGCCTCTTGAACCCGGGTAAAATGAAGGCCGAGAGCTTCCTGTAACCCTCAGAGACTCAATTGCAAGAGGTAGTTGGACGTCCAGATCTCAGCTCTTACGGATTTTTGAGGCTAAGATCCAGTGATTCAAATTCTTGTGAGAAACAAACGAAGAACAGATGGATCTCTGGAAGTTCCAAAGGTGCTTTTTCAAGAGGCAACTGGGCTTTCTGGTTTGTCTTTGAAGACATTTTGCTTCTCATCCAAAAAGGTTCTTCAGCTCTGACTGAATCTCTAAGCCTCCAGCTGTCTGCAAGGAATGTAAATCCTTCCATTCCGCACTTTCCAGTCAGAGCTGAAGAAGCTTCTTGGATGAGAAGCGAAATGTCTTCAAAGAAAAAAACCATAAAGTCTACCATAGTTGTCTCTTGAAAAAGCACCTTTGGAACAACCATGACCTGGATGACTGAGACTCCGTAGACATAGATCTCTGGAAGTTTTTACCTTACAATTTTTCAGCCCTGAATACTTTTTGAGGTGTAGGCATTTGGGACCCCATTGCACAAGCTGGATTAGTCTATTGAAGATGTGTCTAGAACTCATGACTCTGAAGCCATAAAAGGGTTAATTATACTGCTCCTAGGTTGAATAGCTGATTATTGGAATGTACTTCACAATGGAATGCAGTGATGCTTGGGCAATTTTGTTGAATATGTTTTTGTCAGCAATACATCAGCTCTGGCTGCCACGCGCTGAGCTATGTACAATTGCCCAGTTGGCCCCAAGGTTACTGTTCATAAAATACATACTCATAAATGAACAATTAGTAGAGCATCAGAGTCTTCGTCCCCCCTGGCAGGTATGTAAATAAATGAAAATGCACTTTGCTTTACTTTTTGAGTAGCCAAGAGAAACTTGGAGTCAAAAGTAACTTAAAACTTGTTTTACATCCTTAAGATGCTTTTAACTGAAACTTTACAGAATTCTACAGATCTAGACCTTTTTTCTGTTCATGACCTTCAGATATATTCCATCTAGATATATTCCATATTCCTGCTAAAACAATCTGTTAAGGAAGAAAACTATGCAGCATATTTTCCTTTAAGCAAGGAGTGTCCAATCAGTGGCCCATGGATCTCATGCAGCCCTGGATAGCAATGAGGCCCACAATATTGTAACATTTATTTGTACCCGTCGTTTTTACAAATAACTCAAGGCACCAAACATATTCAACATACCTCCTCTCATTTTCCCCACAACAGCAATCCTGTGAGGTAGGTTGGGCTGAGAGAGAGTGACTAGTCCAAAGTCACCAGCTGGCTTTCATGGCTAAGGCAGAACTTAAATTCATGATCTCACTTTTTATGACATATATTAATATACCTATATAAAACACACATATAACCTACATATTATCACATTATATATTTTATATGCAGCCCAATACAATTCTTGTTCTTCAGGGCGGCCCAGGCAAACCAAAAGGTTGGACACTCCTGCTTTATGCAAAGCTAGCAGCTGTTCACCTGGAAAAGCCACTATATTTGCCCATTATACTGCCATATATGGCTTCCACCTGATATTGTCTTCATCTTTCAGCACATGTGTGAGGCAGCCTTAGGTCATCCTTTGCTGTTCTACCTTTGTCCTCTTAAGACTTAAGCTAACAGCAGCCCAAATTCTTTCAAAATGTAAAATTTTCACCGCAAGATGGAGATAATTAAGAAGATACTAGACTACAGAAATGGATAGACTTACACTGAAAATCAAACAGAAGCACACAATATTTTCAGACATGGAACTTATTTTACCAGTGGTTGGAAAAAAGCGGTGAAAAGTAAGAATGGAAACTATTGTTAAGCAAATTAAATACTCAGACAACATGATATTTATTAAGCACTAAGAAATGTAATTAATAGAAAATTAATAAATTTTATTAAAAAAACTGTGTAAAATTGAATGAAAGTTTCCTTAGCCATTTCAAACTGGTGAGCATTCCCTCTCTCTTTGAGACCCAGAATACTGTCTTCTGCCATCTTTCTATCCCATTCCTTCCAGCAAAGAAAGCTGCATACAGCTATTCAAAAGCCTACAGCTCTACCTGATATTTGATGAGTTTGTAATGTTTGAATGAGTTCAAGGAATTGTGCTTTTTACCTTGTCAAATACAACAAAGCAAGAGAGCTATATCATGTCAAAACTCTACAGCTTTCTTGGCCCCATATGTGCTCCCTTCCCACATTATTGTCCTGATTTTATAAAAGTGGATCCAGCAAACAGTTTACATTATTTGGATTTGCGTTACTGAGATAGAGAGGAGTGAATTTGTCTTGCAAAACACCCATAGTAGATAACAATCATTTCCAACCAGGGCTGGGCACACTGTGCATGTGCAGGGATGTGAAGCACCAGAAAGTCTGCTCATTGGAAAGAATCTTGACATGTCAGCGTGATCTTATGTATTTTCCAGAGCAAATATGGAATAAGAAATCCCCTCATCTCCCAACATGATACTACATAAAGGAGACATTTACAGCATGTGCACCTATGCCTAATTCAAAGCATCTTTTCATCCTTGTTCTTGTATCTCAGGATAGGAATTGATGTTAGGACCCTCTATATTATATAACTGCTGGATTACTACCCAAGGATCCATTTATTGTCCTAATAAGTTTGGAAGTACTACATTACAGTTTATGATGTGAAACATAAAATTACAAGCCAACATAATTATTTTTCATGCATCCATAAGGAATTTGACTAAATTAACCACTTATAAGAATGATGTGACATTTGAAACAAAACAGCCTGAACATCTCATTTAAAGAAAGGTTGCCATCTTCATAGTATCCAGACAGGTTCATCAAAAGCAAAGCCTTCCTATTGAATGAAAAAACGATTACATTAATAATTTAGATAATTGTACCAACACCTCACCCCACCACACATGGAGAGCCAATTTAAGGATTAAGGCACCAAGCTAGAAACCAAGAGACTGTAAATTCTAGTTTTGCCATGGGCACGAAGCCAACTGGGTGACCTTGAACCAGTCACTTTTCTCTCAGAAAGTAGGAAATGGCAGACCACTTCTGAAACCTTGCCAAGAAAATCACAGGAACCTGTCCAGGCAGTCTAAGAATCAGACATGACTGAATGAAAAAAAGAAAATTGAGAAAACATTTCTTCTTGTCTATCTTTGTTTTAATATTATTTTCATTAAGGATGATATGTAAGGGCCTAATTCTGTTTAAGATAAATTATCTTTAATGATAAAAACTTCAAATGGCCCAAACGCAGCAAATTTACACTAACAAAAATGATCTTAATACAAATCTTAAACTTATACCAACACTATATATTAAATACAACTTCTCTTTATACTGTTATAAGTTTTAAAAAGCTTGGAGGGGAGGAAAAGGGATTTTTAAGTGTTATTACTTTAAAAATTAAAGTAATACTATCAGGAAAAAGAACATTAACCTTCTGGTTAATATTACGTCCCCTTTATTTTTCTCTGTATAGAGAAGGAAGTGAATATGTAAAGTATTAGAATTTGCTACAAATAGTAATGAGAAACTAGTTATCTTCTGTGAGATTGCTGGGATAACTCCCCCCCCCCCAACTGTCTCATCTTTCTTTCAGCGATCCACCTCAACATTGTAGGAAGCCAGCAATTATTGAGCAACTATCTGGCAGAATTAAAAGTAGTGGGTGCAGGGTGGCTTAGTTCTTGGGGTAATTCTGTAGAGACCTTTGTCTTCTTTGTACATGCTGAAATGACCACCTACTTGCAGACATGCTGCAGGCTTCCAGCATGTCAAGGTTGTCTTTTTTCCTTTATATTCTAAAACTTACAGGCTCCAGAACAGTGACATCAGTCAATTGAACTCTGGTCATGGATCTTTTGAGTAGATATTTACCAGTTCAAGACATCATTAGAGGCAGGAGATAATTGTATATCTTTTATCAATTATAAAATTAATATAGTGTAGAATATTAAAATGTTGTCTAGAAGCTAGGAATGACTTTACCACCACTAGCCATGTTTTAATTATACCAGTACCTACTGTAATGCATTATATTTGAAACTGCCTTTAGTTCAAACAATACCCACAAACTAGCCAATTGCATTTTAGTTAGCAAGTTGCATGAACCAAATATCTGATTCTACTTTTGTGCATACCCATAAAACTGGGTCAGTTGCATAAACCATGGCTAATTTTACCTGCAAGCATGTCATGAATACATCTGGATTTTCCTTCTCTTCTATCATTCCAGATTTTTTTCAGTGTAACTCTAGACAGCCTTTTCTCATTTTTTAGCGATTGTCATTCATGTTTAAATGTTGTCTTTAGCTATACTAGTGAGTTCATAGAAATATTCATTTGACAGATTATTTCAGGAGAGTGTTCTACATT